TAATACTGGAACCTTTTCAGCTTTGGATTTGACTTCAACTGGCCATATGCTATCCCATGGAAATATAGTATTATGCTCATGCCGAAGCAATTTTCGATGAACATAAAAGTCTGAAAAGAACGATCGTGAGAGGCAAAATACCTGTCTTGGGCATTCATGAGAGGGGATGGGCAGGTGATTAAAGCTCTAGAAGAGAGTACCCAGGGGAGAAGGTTCTGCATCATGAAATAGGGGTCCGACACAAACAAGAAGAAAGCGCAAGGCTGGTGAGTATTTGTGGGAACTTGAAGCACAAATTTACCATTAAAACATGCAATATTGATTTTAGATTTCAATTACAAATGTTAAAGTAGAAACACAATTTAATATTAAGCACGTAGTTAGCTGATGTGTAATTTACCACTTTCATTGGCATTTCTATTCTTAATTTTGTATTTACATTTGAAGTGCATCACAAACAAAATGCACGTTTAAACAAAACAAGGGTATAGACTATAGAGGAATAAACACATTGGAAATTATTGTAGATATTTCTTTATGGATTACTTAAAAAGATGCATACATTTATTTTGCGTGAAAATATTCACGTCTAAGGCAGATGATCAGTTTACTATAACATCTACAATGTCTCAAGTTAAATGTATGTACATATGCATGCATGTAACGATCGTTAAATACCATGCCATTTTAGAGATGTTCCTGTGTGATGATGAATTATGTTCGTTGTTATTATTAAAAACATAAAAAATGAAAATCTTCAGACTTTGAAACAGAGCCACGTATTCATAAGTTCATCTGTGACATAGGATGCTCATTTGTAGTTTTATTAATCAACCTACAGTTTCTTTAAATCCTTAATAACATCATGTTCTTTAAAACATTCCCAATCTGATGGGATTTTTCCCAGCACTGCAAATTTTAGGTTATAGCGCTTTTCTAAGTCTGACTTGAACGTGCAGACAAACCATTTCCAATATGGCTGTGTGGTTAAGTCTGGTGTTATGCTCCAACAAGCATAATTTGGCCCGGCTGTACGATAATCCTTCCATGGTATTTTTCTGTCTGGAAACACTATGCTGCAGTTACTGGCAACTAAACTAGTGCAGATGTCGGTGACAAAGTGATCAGTTTCATGCCAATTTCCTCCGCACACTGCCTTGGGGCGGTGAATGGGAACACTGTGGTCTCCATCATGATTGGACATCGTGTTTGTGCAGATGGCTTTACAGGATGGGCACTGCACCCAGCACCCACATAGCTGCCCAAATAGTATTTCATGAGGTGTTTTCTGAACGTGTTTCAAATCATTTAAGCATGCTGAAGAAAATTGATCCTTTAATCCTTGAACCACGGTTTTTAGTCCTGTTGTTATTTTTTATTTAAGAAATTCAAAATCTGTTATTTCGCTATAGTCGCCTTTGTTCAAAGTGTGTCTTGGGAGCTTGATGGCATCATCAAGCTGTGTGCAAAATACATCCAGCCATGAAGATGCATCATACTCGTTGTCTCGTACAATTTAAGTTGCTTTATTAATTGCACGAGTAATATCAGCTGTGTAACCCTCAAGACTTGACTTTAACATGTCATGAATTCTTTCATTATCGTTTTCCTTGCAATACTTTTCTACACATTCCGTAATGTATTTTTGAAAGTGTTGTTTTGGATGGTGAATATATTCATCAAATTCTTTAAAATCTTTCTTCTTTGCTAAATCTATTAGGATGTAGTTTTCTAATTTTGATCGATTTCCGTTGAATGCTATACATTTGGACTTCATCCTGCCTGCAATGTCAACACAAACGTTATCATAAACTGCCTGTTGAATTGATGCTTTCAGTTTGTTACACAAAAAATCCACAAAAATTGCTGTGGACGTTGCGCCTTGGCAGCGAATTTTGAAGCTGCTGAAGTATTCTTCTTTCTTACTGATGAGGTATACTAATGGGTCGTTTTCCTTCTGGAAATTTTCATGCATTTTCTGATATCGCCCCACAACCTCTGCCAATATATGGACAGATACATCAATTTTGAACTTTTATGTGAGCTTAAATCTTTGATTGGATTGTGAAAATACCTGTATGTATCTATTTATTACCTCAAAAATTTCATGTATATAGGATGGATTGCAATTCGTTTTATGTTTCTCCTGGTTAGTAATAATGCTACTGACTTGGTATTCTATGTCAACAATTAAATTGCTAATTGACTTAATATCTTCTTTGGTTCTTTCGGTAAAGTCACGTAGAATGAGAATAAAATAATAAATTGATAAAATAAAATAACACAATAATATTCTCACGACGTTTCGGCCACAACACAAGCGGCCTTCATCAGGTGAAGGGGGCGAGACTGTCTGGTAGGACAGCGCTGGAGTGAGAGAGCCACGTTCAGATCACGGCTTTTAAGCTGTGTGAGAGGAACAAAGAGCCTTGACGAAGGAATTAGCATAAAATTTAGCATTGAAATGGCTGAATGATTAGCTTGTGACTGGTCACAGAAATAGCTATGTTAAAAGTTAAAGCATACACATCCGCAGAGGCACCCATTGTTAAAAGAAATTAGCAAAGAATTTAGCATTGAAATAGCTAAGTTAAGGCATACACATCCGCAGAGGCACCCCTTGACAATGGGATTAGCATAGAATTTAGCATTGAAATGGCTGAGTGATTCGCTTGTAACTGCTACAGAAATAGTTACGTTGAAGTCAGAGCATACACATTCACCGAGGCACTTAGTACAAATCAAACAGGAGAATTTAGCATTGAAATAACTAGGCGAATTTAGCATTGAAATAACTGGGTGATTTGCTAGTGACTGGTCACAGAAATGACTACACATCTGAGCTATTCACAGTACTATATAGTGAACCAATAAAAACTAGAATATAAATTACCTTCATGTTATCAATAAACTCTATATTCTCCAATCAGCTAAGCTACCAACCATAAGTCGTTATATATCACAATGCTATATGGCGAAAAAATGGGTGGATTCTTACCCTCAAATTTCCGTACCACGGATAGCTACGGGCCCCGTTCAGACGGACGAGTTCGTCCATGGTTGGAACAGAGGAGGGGGAGAGAGACAGCTGCGAAGCCCTAGTATACTCCATGTTGTAAACCATACCATTAACCGTGGTGTGAGAGGTATTAAGAGGCAATGCTGGCGAAAGAGCTGCGGTCTGAAGGTCATCGTAAAATTACAATTAATTAAGAACAGAAATGATTTAACACATCTTTCCAGTGGTTACTAAGCCTGAATCCATCTTCTCGGTTGAAATTGTCTCTGTGCTTGTATATGTGAATGGCCTCATGAACGAATCTCTCATGGTAGCCAGTTGGTTTGCAAAGAACCTCCGTCTTGGAGAAGTCAATGTCATGTGAGCCCACTGAATTGTAACAGTGATCTGCCACGGCAGAGGAGTTCGTCTTACCGTGTTTCAAGTCTGCTTTATGTTCGCGGATGTGGTCCGAGATATGTCTTTTGGTTTCTCCAATGTAGCTACTACCACAGAGGCACTTTAGTTTGTAAACGCCCGGGTACTGTATGTCTGGAAGAGCATCTTTTACAGATGGAACTAAATCACGGATTTTGTGTACTGTGTTGAATCGGACCTGGATCTTGTGTTTATTCAGGATTTTGGAGATCTTTTTAGTGACCCCTGCAATGTAGGGTAAGGTGATGGTTTTGAGTGGCTCCACAAGAGGATCCTTCTTCATGACTGGAGTGATGGCTTTGCGGATTGTGTAGTCGGAGTAGCCATTAGCCCTGAGAGCCTGGTGTACGTGCTTGAGTTCACTGGTAATGTGTTCCTGGTCGGAAATGCATTGGGCTCTATGGTATAGAGTCTTGATGAGGCAGTTCTTCTGGGATGGATGGTGGTGGGAATCCGGTTTCAAGTAAGCGTCTGTATGGGTAGCTTTCCTGTAGACAGAGTGGCTCATTGAACCATCATGTCTCCTTTTAATTAAGACATCCAGAAAGGGTAGTTTGCCATCTTTTTCGACCTCCATGGTAAATCTGATGGCTGGGTGTATGGAATTGATGTGGTCGCGGAATTGGTCTAGAGCAGGCTGGCCATGTGGCCAGATGACAAAGGTGTCATCAACGTACCTCTTCCATAAGGTCGGGCGTAGAGTGGCAGTCTGGATGGCGTCAGTTTCAAATTTTTCCATGAATACGTTGGCTACAACCGGAGATAGGGGGGAGCCCATTGGGGTGCCCTCAGTTTGTTTGTAGAAAGTTCCATTCCAGGTGAAGTATGTGTTGGTTAAGCAATGTCTCACCAGGGGGGATACATCAGTATGCAGTCCTTGATGAACCAGGTCTTCAATGATAGCGATGGTGTCAGGTACCGGGACTTTGGTGAACAAGGACACCACATCAAAACTGACAAGCAGGTCGTTTGGGGACAGGGAAATGTCTTTGATTGTCGATACCAGGTGAGTAGAATTTAGTACCGCAGAGGTGGTTTTTCCAGTGAAAGGTCGCAGTATATCAGCCAGAAAACGTGCCAGTTTGTAGGTGGGGGAGCTGATAGTAGAGACGATGGGACGAAGGGGTGTATCTTCTTTGTGTATCTTGGAAGGCCATATAATCTTGGTGGTCTGGCAGCAGAGGGTTTCAACGAGAACTGTTTGTTCTCATCAATTAATGCTGTTGAATCAGAGATAATTTTGTTCGTTTTGGTGACCAGGCTGTTGGTGGGATCTCTTTTTATTTTTGTATAGCTGCCATCGTTGAGTAGTTCTTGAATTTTGTTGTTATATTCTGTTTTGTCCATGATGACAGTGGCATTGCCTTTGTCGGTTGAGAGAACGACAATATCATCCCTCTTTTTTAATTGAGATAATTAAAAACGTTCGTCTTTGCTGATGTTGCTAGGTGGCAACTTAGCGTTGCCACCTAGCAACATCAGCAGAGATGTGACTCAAGCCCTTGCGTGCAACGTCGACATGGGCAATGATATCATTAACCGGTAAGTGTCTCGGTGTGACAGCAAATGGTAACTGACAATGTCGAAGTAATGTCTGTTCATCATAATGTGTTCGTCTTTATTAACGACAAATGTTTTCCTTTTATGATAGTTACCTATCACTGTACTTAGGTGTTGAATTTGATTCGCATGAACGGAGTAAATAAGGTTTTCAATTAGTCTTTTTACATCAAGTTTTGCAGGGCTGGTCATACCATCTTTTATCACTTTAATCCACTCTTTCCAGATTTGATCAAAATCCCTGTCCCATTCTTCTTCATTTACTTTTTTGTCTCTCAATTCTGAAGCCAAATCCTTGCTCTTTCTAATAAGCTGATCTTCATAACTTGATCTCTGCTGATCGAGATTTCTTTTTTTGTCTTTTTGAGCCATCAGGGAAGAGTAGTTTTTGTAAGCATCAGATACCAGCTCTTCTTTCACTGTTTCAAATCCTTTTTCAAATTTAACTTTCCATTGAACCAACAATTCTGCATCATCTGCGCTATTGAAATGTTCTTCCATTTTCTTCCTGATATCCTGATAGTTTGACAAAATCTTTTGTTCAATCTTTGATCGTGTCATTGCATCTGTATTATTATCAATACTGTTATAGAGTTTGTTTTCCTGCTGAAGAACATGACTCCTTAGTTCCCAAGTCCATTTTCCATACATTTCTTCCAGTTTGGTATAAGCTGCAATCTCTATGGTGTTCTTAAAGCTAAAAACGAAGTTTTCTGCGTGCAAAGCCGTCCATAGATCCTTAATGCGTGCTTTCAATTCTGATATCTTCAAGACATTGACTGTTTTTTCTCTTTTCGCATTTCTAAGTAACATTTCTTTAAGGTCTTTAATATTTTTACAGTAGCTTGGATTTGGCGGAGCCATCGGAGGGTCTCCCTCCCAAAGATGAGCAAAGTAACGGATCTGAGAGTTCACGTCAAACCTGATCACGGCGTCAAATGATGCAACAGCGCACTGCTCCTAGTCTGCAGCCATGCTGGTCATCTCATCGAGTTTCTCCTGAAAGCGTCTCCTTCCCTCCATGTTCTTATCGTCAGTATTCACTTCTCCTACGTTTTGATGGACAAACACACAGCTCGGTGATAACCTCACCTTCCTCATTATCAGAAACGCCTGCACAGCAATTTGTAGAATGTCTTGCATTTCAGAAGGGTTCTCTCCAAAAATGTTGATCACAGTCATGTTTCCCAGCCCAATCACAAAAGTTGCCAGCTCATTGTCATGACTACGTGTTGCATTTGACAGCACTACAGAACGTAGTCCTTCTGTGTCGACTATCAGCACAAAGTCATATCCCAGCTGTTTACTGAACTCTGCCTCCACCTTCACTAACTGCATGTAGGCCCCTCGGGTGCATCTCCCACTACCAACAGGAAACTGGAGACCAAACATGGCATTAAGTAGCGTGGACTTTCCACTGCTCTGTATTCCCAGTATTGATATAACAAACAGCTTCACGTTCCCAATTTCATTAATGATTCCGTCCAAGATTGATGTAATCCAAATGAGAGGGACATGTGCAGCATCACCATCCATGAGTTCAAGGGGAAATCCAGAGATCATCATTTCTGCTGAAATCTTTGGCAAAGTAGCTGGGAGTTTTTCAACTGATGGCGTTGTCTGTGAAGCTTCGTAGATCTGACCAACTTCCCTAAAAACGTGATCACTTCCAAATGAAGAGGCATCAAGTTCTTCTGATATTTTATCCAACTCTGATTGTTTTGTAGCAATGGTCATCGTGTTAGAACCTTGTTTTTTCAACTCTATTATTGCTGTCCAGACCTGATGATAAGTGAGATGAAGTTGTGATAAGCGATCTGCAGACATATTATCTAAGTATATGCGTAGCCAATGCAGAAAGTATGTTTTTACTGTGCCTGCATTATGGTTCAAAATTTCAATCAATGATCTCATAAAACCATTAAGAGGAAATGCTTTTTCAAGCTGGGCTTCCCTAATGAGTGTGTTTTTCCATTGAAATATTACTTTTGTATTCCTCAACACTTAGACCCCCCTTTACCTTCATGCCAGTCAATTCTTTGTCTTTCTTGCACCACGACTGCCACAATTTTCCTTGAAGAGGCAAAAAGTCTCCTTTATGGAACACAGCGGCTTGTTACTTATAAGACTCAGCAAAACTTTCACCATATCCTTGCCCTCTTCACATTGTTTATCATCTTCATCAACAACGAAGCCATACTGTCTTGCAATAGCTGAGCAAGCTTCGATGTTAAGTTTTTTATTTTTGAATTGTCTAAAAACAATTTGATTATTGACGTCAATTCATCAATTAACTCAGCCTCATTTCGATTCCCGACAGCAATTTTCGCGTTTGTTCCAGATACTCCACTGGAAACTCTCTTATTGTCAGCACAGAGGCAAACTAGCGGCTTTGGGGAACTCAAACATTCGTCTAAGATGCGTTTACCTTCTTCATTGCGATCACCATCTGACAGTAATATCACATATATAGACGATATCTCATGTAAAAATTGCATCTGTGTTTTGTGTTCTCTTGCATCTCCGTGGAGATTAGTGAATGCTATGCAGTCATTAAATACATAATCGTCCTTGCCACCTGGAAGATACCAGGCGATCTCTGCAACTCCTTTCATTAGTTGACCATTCCTGCTGCTGCCTCGGCAGTGCCTATGAAAGAAAACTCCATGCTTTTGCTTGCCGAGCAAAGAATTCATTATCTGAGATTTCGATGCGGGTGATTCACCAAATCTTACGAAGGACACGAGTGCAGTGTTGGCATCACTGATTGCACAGTTTTTAGATTTACATTTTGTGGTAGATGCATCCCGGCATTTCCAGCTTTTTTTTAATCTGTCTGAATGACCAGATAGGGAATTCTATTTCTGAACAACAAGGATTTGGAACTAATAGCGGAAGTGCGAACTGGATGAATGAAAGTTTGGTGCAAATGTACTGCCTTACAAAATTGTCTCCACAATGGAATATTGCCATTTGTAAATCCATAGGGTGAATGTGGGTTTCAGTGTTTGTACTAGGCCCATCCCTGTTATTTATTATGTCATCATCATTCTTATCATCAGAAAAGAAGTTATCACTATTAGGGCTTTTATTTGTATAAGTGGACTGAGATAAGTTGTTTAATTTACCTTTGTTTAGTTACACTGAAAACTAACACATCTTGCTCGATAGTCAATCATCATCAGTTTTTGCAGATAAGAAAGAGCAAGTTCTTGTTCTGTGCATCGATCAGGGTTAGTTTGAATTGGAGACCTGTTGACAACACATACATCACTTGTGTGTAATTTCTTAGGGTAGTAGTTTATCAGTGCGAGTCTTTCAAGCAGTTTCAATAACTCTTCATTATTTTTTCGTGGTTGAATAGATGTTTTTTTTTGTAATTCTTCTTGCCTTAAAGTTCCAGCGATAATGGATTCCAGCATCATATCAAGTTTATTCCAGTCAGTTGGCCTTATTTCACTGCATTTAATCACATGAGAAACTTCAGCACACATTGTTGCTTCGATCTGGGATCTCATGAAATCGAAATGTTTTTGCTTTTCGGCAGGAGTTCGTGCATTAGACAAACCTGTCCGTAACACGTATGCCTAAGCTCTGGATTTGTCTTGTTCCATCAGTCTTGAGTACTCTCCGTAAGCGGACTCTAGTGCACGTTGAAGATGATCAATGTTGTCGTAATTCTGGGGATGCTGAAATCGTTTTTCTTTTACACAGTAGCCAACAGCAGAAGCGACTGAAAAGATGAGTAGCTCTTGTTCGATGAGTTTTGTTCTCAGTGATTGGCATAATGAATTAAATGAATGTGTGATTTCTTTGTTTTTTTCATGTATTTCTGAATGAGTTGGTGAAAAGTCAACTTTTAAATGTTCTTCTGCTTTTGTTAAGATGTTCACAAGATCTTTAAAGTCAGATAATTGATTAGGGACTCTTTCATACTCATTCAGCCACTGCATAATGGAGGCGAATTGTGGAAAGCTGTTAACTTCACAACTGTTTGTCTCCATAATAGAGCGCATAAGCTTTTTGATTTTCACCGTTTTGGCAGGTGCTGTAACAAGATTTGACAAAAATGATTGAACGGCTGGGTGAGACAAACAGGTGTTTATCCAAATTAAATTGCTTTTCGTTTCATCATATAACGTCTGTTTCAAATCAAGTATCTTTTCTAAATTATATTCCATGTCGGATTCTTGCCACTGTTTAATATCTTGCATCACTGACCTGGCTTTAGCATTAGCAGAGACCAATTTATCCTCAAGACCAAAATTTGGATTTTGGTTTGTCAAAAGTGTGTATGCCTCCTTGAGCCTGCTAGCTATCAAGGTATTTTTAAAGTAACCCTTGTGGTTAAACGTGACAATGTCCCACACTGGAACCAATGATGTGCCTAGATCAATGACAGTCCACGTCTTGGTGTTCGAGACAATGTCAGTTTTCCATTGTTGAAAAGAACAAATGCCAGGTGATCCACCTATTGTACCTACGGAAATTGTCACCTTACTAAGAGGTGTAGCATTGTATTTTTCGGAAAATTCCGTTGTAAATTCGGATGCCATCATGCTATCACCACCACCACCACAGCCACTGCTGTTGTAGGCAGAAGTGGAATACCTTTCCACTGCCTCCGATAGCATATTTCTTTCTTCCTTTTCCTCATCTGAGCTGATGCCCTCTGCTGATGCTTTCCACTTAAATATCCCACCAAAGTGGACAGGGCCTGTATGGGCATGAGAGCCAAAGTTCTCAAAAAAACTTCCAAACCTGCTGCTTAGCACGCGCGTTTTAAAAGACTCATTGACGTTTTTTAAAGTGTTTTCAATGCTTTGTAATTCCTCCAACGCCTCATCAGACAGCTTGAGTTGATCAAAGTTCAGACTTCCTGAGGCAAGTGGTAAGTACAGGTATTTGACACTATGAATGCAGGTATCCGTGGGATTTTTTCGTTACTTTTTTTCAGTGTGTAATGCCTTGCTATGCCGCGAGGTGATTTCTTCATTCAAGGCCTGTAAGAAACCTTCTTCTGTCGTTATGGTATTGAATCCCATTTTTTCCACTGCTGTCTCAAATATGTTTTCCTCTTCAGAGGATGAAAACTCTTGTTGCTTTATCATCGGTTGATGTACTGGCCCAGCAAGATCAAACGACATTGGGATGTTTAGGAGTTTGCCTCTTTTCTTTAACATATCGTTTATTTGACCAGTTCGATACACCCCCTCCAAAGCAAGTCCTTTAGATGCATATTGTAAAAGACTTATATGTGATATTGTTCCACGTAAAGTTGAAATGCCTGATAAATCTAACTGCTTTAGATGAGTGTTTGCCATATCATTGGAATGGTTGCCATCACACAATGGGTTTTCTTTTGCTCCTTTCAATTCCATTCGCTGCTCTGTCCCAGTCTCTATGGTAGAATTATCACTGCGAGTTAATATTTTCTGATGGATTTGTTCTGGATGCTGCTTTGTTGGTGTATATTGTTTCTGTTTATTTCCAATTGGCTCACATTGTTGTGATTGTTTTAAAATAACTTCATTGCCAGACATTTTCACTAACTTACACAATGCCTTTTTCTCCCATGAATGCCGGCAATGTGGTTCTATGATTTAAAATTCCTCAGGGCCACAATATTGCAATGCTTGTACATTGGTGATACCCAAAATATCTCGTAGTTTTGTAATCCAAAAAGTTGTAGTAAGACCTAAGTCTGTAAGTACTTTGGCAAGCTCATCTTGAGCTTTAATGTCGTGGTCCTCCTCTTCAGACATAGCCTTGAATACACACATAGACCGTCCTTAATTAGTAATACAACATTTTCGTACGCGTTTCCGACGCACAAAGAAATGGTTAAGATTTTTAAAGTTTAACATTTCACATCACATCTTCTTTGGTTCTTTCGGTAAAGTCACGAAGATTGAGAATAAAATAATAAATTGATAAAATAAAATAACACAATAATATTCTCACGACGTTTCGGCCACAACACAAGCGGCCTTCATCAGGTGAAGGGACGAGACTGTCTGGTAGGACAGCGCTGGAGTGAAAGAGCCACGTTCAGATCACGACCTTTAAGCTGTGTGAGAGGAAACAAAGCACCTTGACAAAGGAATTAGCATATAATTTAGCATTGAAATGGCTGAGTGATTAGCTTTTAACTGGTCACAGAAATAGCTATGTTAAAAGTTAAAGCATACACATTCGCAGAGGCACCCCTTGATAAAGGAATTGGCATAGAATTTAGCATGCTAAATTTTAGCATGCTAAATTCTAAATTCGCCTAGAATTTAGCATGCTAAATTATATTATTGTGTTATTTTCGCCTAGTTATTTCAATGCTAAATTATTCTGTTTGATTTGTACTAGGTGCCTCGGTGAATGTGTATGCTCTGACTTTAACATAGCTATTTCTGTGACCAGTTACAAGCTAATCACTCAGCTATTTCAATGCTGAATTCTATGCTAATTCCTTTGTCAAGGGGTGCCTCTGCGGACGTGTATACTTTAACTTAGATATTTCAATGCTAAATTCTATGCTAATTCCTTTGTCAAGGGGTGCCTTTGCGGATGTGTATGCTTTAACTTTAACATAGCCATTTCTGTGACCAGTCACAAGCTAATCACTCAGCCATTTCAATGTTAATTACATGCTAACTCCTTTGTCAAGGCGCTTTGTTTCTTCTCACACAGCTTAAAGGTCGTGATCTGAGCGTGGCTGTTTTCACTCCAGCGCTGTCCTCCAGACAGTCTCGTCCCTTCACCTGATGAAGGCCGCTTGTGTTGTGGCCGAAACGTCGTGATTTTTTGTTATTTTATTTTTTACCTACGTGACTTTACCCAATAGAACCAAAGAGTATGGATCCTTGCAGTCACGAAAGCTTTAAATCTATAATCATCAATACGGCCAAGGGTTGTGAATGAAGAGTCCCCTGTGTGGGCTTCAGTGGGGCCGTCTGGTCGGGCAGCAGAGACATGAGAGGCCAAGAAACGACATTCCAGTCGTGGGCTGAGCTCAAGGAGGGCTAGCTCGAGCACCATCCTGCGGCGGGGAAAGGAGGTGGTGCAAGCGGTTCTGCCGAGCCCACAACAGCCAAAAATCTGCTGTCCCTGTCTGGGGGGGGGGGCGCTGTTCAACCTTAGCACATGGGTGAGAAGCCGTGCATGTGTGATGAGTGCGGCAAGACGTTTTTCTCGCGATTGGCCTACAAGTATATATATATTTTTTTCTTTTCTGCTTGTGTGTTAATCTGTGTTTACCCCGGATATTTTAGAGATGGCAATTCTCCTGCTGTGTATCCTACTGCTGTCCCTCCCGGCCATATCTAGTGCCACACTCAACTCTACAAACAGCTACCCTCGTTACTTTGCATCCATACTTGTTGCTCGATTTGCCACTACACCTGCTAATGAAACAGCTCATAGACACTTCTACACTCCATCATTGTATCCTTTTAAACCCTATCTTTGTCCCATTACTTCACCAGCACTCCTTCCAAACTTTATTCTGCTCTTAAAAATAACACCATCTGCGAGCTACTGCTATTCGTCTAAGGTTCGCCGCTCTTCATCCTTTCACAGAAAATACTTGTGGAAACTATTAATTCTACTTTTCTTATTTCTGGGTGGTATTGAGCTTCATCCTGGCCCAAATGAAAATAACTCGTATAATTCTGTAGATTTTTCTGGCAGGAAAGGTGTTGGTGTTCTACATGTCACATCAGAGAGCTTGTGATTAATTAAGTCAACTAAAACTAGAAGTGGCAAATCTTGACCCGGACATTTTTTGCCTAACAGAAACATTTCTCACCCCTGCCGTCAATGACTTGCAGATTGCGATTGACAACTACAACCTTTTTCGGCTTGGCTGAGGATCTAAAGGAGGTGGAATTGCCATCTATGTTCGTAATACTATTGCATGTTCACTACCTCACTCCTTGTTTAAAAAATGTTGCTTTGAAGGTCTGGCTCTCAAAATAACTCTCCCAAATAATCAACAGATTTTGGTAGTGTGCTGCTATCGACCGCCTAGTGGGAAGGATATTGAAGCTGCATCTCTACTGAGAGAGCTTTTTGGGGGGCCTCCCTGAAGGTAAAATAGTTTTATTGGGTGATTTAAATTGGAATTGGCTAAACCCGCCGGCAGTGGCCACAAATTTTGCAGATGAATTTAATTTTTTTCGATTAATAAATGTCCCCACAAGACCCAACCTAAAAAATCCGGGACAGTCATCTCTGCTTGACGTCCTATTGACAAATGCCCCTCACAATTTCACACTGACTGGTGTTCTGGGTAATAACCTTAGTGATCACTCCTTAATTTTTGGGGTGAGATCATCAGCCAGACTCAAAGCCCCCCCTAAATTTGTTGAGAAGCACTCTATGAGACACTTCAGCACTCTGGCATGTACTAATGATGTGTTTCACTCGGATATTGACAAGGTCTGTGATATCCCCAACCTGACTCCGGCTTGGGGAGACCTTCAGGTACATGTTTCTCCAAATTCTTAACAAACATGCTCCGTTGGTTAGATTTAAAACTAAAGGCAACCGCCCACCATGGTTTGATCCTTTGATTACAAAGCTCATGAAAACTAGGGACAAGGCTTCGGCATGTGCTCAGAAAAGTAATTTGGTCAATGACTGGCTAGAATACAGGATTTTAAGGAATAGATGCGTCAAAAAGATACGCAATGCAAAAATGCCTACTTTTCCTCTACTCTCCTGGAATCACATGGAAATGCCAGGATTTTCTGGAAAACAATCAAATGTATCGAAAAGGCATCCAAAACAGACAATCTGCCCGCTGAGCTTAACCGAAATGGGGAATATTTTTCAGATCCCAAAAAAATAGTTGACAATTTTAACCTTCATTTTTCTGAAGCTGGTAATCTTTTTGATAATGTATTGGGAGTTACCCCTGCTCATGCAAATTCCTACACCCCTGTCCAAACATTAAACGAATTTAGTTTCCAGCCAATCCACGAAAGTAATGTTCTGAAACAACTGTCCTACCTCAAAGGGTCCTCCTCTACTGGAGCAGATAGTATTCTCGTCTTTGCTCTAACTGTTGGTCACCTAATATACAAACCTATAGCCCATATTTTCAACCTGTCCATCAAAGAAGCATCAGTTCCTCTAGAATGGAAACATTCCTATGTCCGTCCACTTCACCAAGGGGGCCCTAAAGATGATCCAAATAACTACAGACCTATCTCAATTTTGTCCCCGTTGATGCAATTTTTTGAAAAATGATTGACCTACCAAATTAGCAGTTTCCTGTCCACCAACAATCTACTACATATAAAACAATCTGGGTTCTAAAAAAAATACAGCACCACATCTGCTGCATTAGACTCTCTGAATCACATTTACAGTAGCCTTGATAATAATCAGTACTGTGCCTGTCTTTTTCTAGACCTGTCCACAGCTTTTGATACAGCAGGCCACAACACCCTGCTTAGTAAACTAAGTTGCCTCGGTTTTTCCGAAAACGCAGTAAAATGGTTACAAAATTACCCCTTTTCTCGCACCCAAACTGTATTCACAGATCGTCGGAGGTCAAAGAGTGTTAAGATAACAAAAGGAGTTCCACAGGGTTCCATCCTCGGCCCCCTTTTGTTCTCTCTTTATGTCAATAACTTGGGCACTGACCTGGATTATTCCAGGGTAAATCTTTTTGCAGATGACACGATACTGATTACTGCTGGCCGCTCTCCAGATGACGTGATTGCTAAGCTACAGGGTGATTTCAACAAACTACAACATCAGCTAGTTGCTCTTAAGCTAGTCCTGAATACCTCCAAAACCAAGGTGCTATGCTTCTCACCAGGACTTAAGCAGGAAGTTATTTTTCCCCAATTACATTCCTTAAATAATTATCAAATAGAGCAAGTCAAGATCTATAAGTACTGTATTTTGGGGTCATCCTGGATTCAAAACTTAATATTGAAGATCATATTGATTATATTGGTAAAAAGACCAAAATAAAAATTGGTTTTCTGTATCAACACAAGCACTGCTTCCCCCCAATGTTCCGTTTGAGTTTGATAAAAGCTACCATACTGCCTGTACTTGACTACTGTGACATCGTGTATAAATCATCCCAAAGTACTGTACTGAAGAAACTTGATTCCATCTATCACTCGGTCTTAAGATTTACATTGAACTGCCCATATAGGACTCACCACTGTGATCTCTACATTGGGTCAAACTTAACATCTCTTAATGTTCGACGGCTTGTGCACCAGATCTTATTTATTCATGATGTACTTACAAAAAAATCCGCCGACTACCTGCTGGATCTCCTCTCTGTTTCAAAGAACAAATTTGACCTCAGGTCTTCGCTCATTTACCAGCTTCATATTCCCTATTGCCATACAAAAACTGGAGGAAGGGCCTTTGCTATTGATGCCTCCAGGGGCTGGAATGCTATTGCCAATAAACTGCAACTTGAATCGCTACCAGTGAGATCTTCTCTCAAAACTGCTCTAGAGGAGTTGTACACCCCTAGCTGCCACTGCTATTCATTGGCGTAAAATAAAATGTTTGGCTCCGGATGACGCTGCAAAGTATTATCTGTATTTTGATTTAGCGTGCTGATCTTAAAGGTGCATTGAAAAATTTGATACTCCGACTGATGTTTCTGTTGTTCATGCAGCCAGCTATGGCTCTAGGATTTGGTGTTACATGTTATTTATGTAGTTTATTGTAAAAATTCGGTCACAGTCCCTGTGATCACTGTTACGTTGCAATTATGGCTTTACTT